GAAGCAGATAATTGCTAATCTTTTTTTTCCTAAAGGGTTACAATTTGAACCTTAAAAAAAAAGTAATGTGGTGTAAATTGAAATGGAGTAGTAGTAGTAATAAGAAAGAAAATTCAAATAATTAGAAAGAGTATTCACCATTTCTTCGGAAGGTTCTTTCACCTAAGGGCTACGAGCTTGAAGAAGAAATTAGACCAAATAAGAATCCTTTGATGGGCTTTTCCCATATTTATATAGAATCTTTTTCTGGGTCCCACCTTTTCTTGTTAGGGTTTCTCTCTAAAGAAATCAAAATATTATTAATAAAAAAATTGTTCGATAATATATATATATTTTTTTTTTAATATGATGATGAAGATAATTTTCTTAAATATTTCAATTTTTAAAGCGAAAAGCATTTCTTAATTTATTATCCTAATCCTGAACTATTCGTTGCTACATTGTTCCCAAGAATTAGTAAAATTGAAATATCAAAACTCTTGGATAAAATATCACCCATATTATAAAATAAAGATACTAAAATAAATACAAGTATAAAGCGAAACTGATATATTATTCAAATTTCAAACTTAGATACATAATGAACTGAAATACCTTCTATTTATAAAAGAAAGCAACATGTTGTGTAAGCTACTTTTGCAAGTTGTTGTGTAAGTTAATATTGTATCAGATATAGCTAATCTTCTACCGGGGGTAATGTTTATCCATAACGGAGTACCGAAAGGATAAGTTCATTGTACCAGATATAGATAATCTTCTACCAGGGTAATGTTTATCTATAACGGGGTACCGAATGGATAAACTCATTGTACCAGATATAGATAATCTTCCACCGGGTGTGATGTTTATCCATAACAGAGTACTGAAAGTATAATCTCATTGTACCAGATATAGATAATCTTCTACCGAGTGTGATGTTTAACTATAACGGGATACTGAAAGAATAAGCTCATTGTACCAGATATAGATAATCTTACTACCGGAGGTGATGTTTATCCATAACGGGGTACTGAAAGGATAAGCTCATTGTACGAGATATAGGGTACTGAAAGGATAAGCTCATTGTACCAGATATAAATAATCTTCTACAATGATATTTATTCATAACGGGGTGCCGAAGGGATAAACTTCTTCAGGAGACTTATTTCCAATAGAGTATTAAATAGATAAACATATTTACGGCGGAATCTCATATAGATAAGCTTCTTCAGGAAGCTTATTTACAACGGAGTGCTAAATGAATATCCATAATATATTTATAACATTCCCCCTTGGATGTTCATTAAAAGATAATGTGTCTCATTAAAACCTTACTAGAAAAAATCTCGTGGAAAAAAAATCCTAGTGAAGGAAAAAAGAGTACACATATTTAGTAATACGCATAACTAGTTGTCTCATTAAAAACCTTATAAGGAAAACCCTGTGGGAAAAATTTTAAGGGAAAAAGAGTATAGCACGTATTTTACTCCCCCTAATAAAAATCATGTTTCAAATATTTGAGTCTCCGCATTTCAATCTTGTATATCATCTTCTCAAAAGTTAAAGTTGGCAAAGATTTATTGAATAAATCTACCGGATTGTCACTTGAACGGATTTGTTGCACATCAATGTCACCATTTTTCTGAAGATCGTGTGTCTAGAATAATTTTGGTGAAATGTGCTTCGTTCTATCTCCTTTTATAAATCCCCCCTTTAATTGGGCTATGCATGTAGCATTGTCTTCGTATAAAATTGTGGATCTTTTATCACATTCCAAACCACATTTTCCATGAATAAAATGAATCACTGATCTCAATCATACGCATTCTCTACTTGCTTCATGAATAGCTATTATCTCAGCATGATTTGAAGAAGTAGCAACAATAGATTGCTTTGTGGAGCGCCATGATATGACAGCACCTCCACATGTAAGCACGTACCCGGTTTGAGATCGAGCTTTATGTGGATCAGATAAATAGTGTGCATCTGCATAACCAACAAGATTTTCACTACCTTTGTTAGAATAAAATAAACTCATATCATGTGTTCCCTTTAAATATCACAATATATGCTTAATCCCGTTCTAATATTTCCGTATAGGAGAAGAGTTATATCTTGCTAGTAAATTAATAAAAAATATTATGTCATGCCTTGTAGCATTACTTGTAGCATTAGCAAGATACATAAGTGCACTAAGATAAGGTATTTCGGGACCAAGGAGTTCCTCATCCTCTTCTGGAGGTCGAAACAAATACTTATTCACTTCAAGTAATCGAACAACTATTGGTGTACTCAATGGGTTTGCTTTGTCCATGTAAAAGCATTTTAAGACCCTTTCTGTATAGGCAAATTGATGGATAAATATCACGTCTGCTAAATGTTCAATTTGCAGATCAAGACAAAATTTTGTCTTTCCAAGATCTTTCATCTCAAATTCTTTCTTAAGATATTCAATTGCTTTTTGGAGCTCTTCTAGAGTTCCGACAAGATTTATGTCATCAACATAAATAGCAAGTATAATAAATTCTGATGCCATTTTTTTTATAAAAATATATGGACAAATAACATCATTTATGTAACCCTCTTTCAGCAAATATTCACTAAGGCAATTATACCACATACGCCCAGATTGCTTTAAACCGTACAAAGATCTTTGTAATCTGATTGAATACATTTTCCGAGATTTTGGATTTGCTTCAGGCATTTTAAGTCCTTTGGGGATTTTCATATAAATTTCATTATCAAGTGAACCATACAGATAAGCTGTAACTACATCCATTAGTTGTATTTCAAGTTTTTCATGTAGTGCTAAACTGACGAGATATCGAAATGTTATGGCATCCATAACAGATGAATATGTTTCATCAAAATCGACTCCAGGTCGTTGTGAGAATCCTTGTGCGACAAGGCGAGCTTTGTATATTTCAATTTCATTTTTATCATTCATTTTTCGTTCAAAAATCCATTTATGACTAACTGGTTTTATACCAGTAGGTATTTAGACTACTAGTCCAAAGACCTCTCTTTTAGCAAGTGCGATCAATTCTGATTGAATTGCCTCTTGCCATTTTGGCCAATCAGATCTTTATCGACATTCTTCGACAGATCGGGGTTCAAGATCCTCACTATCTTGCATAATGTTAAGTGCAACATTATATGTAAAAATATTGCCCACCACTATTTCAGATCAATTTAAATTAATCCCTTTACCTGTAGAACTTATTAAAAACTTCTCACTCACTTGAGTCTTAGGTCCATTGATTTCTTCAGAAATCTCAGAACTAATCAGATCTTGGTCTCTTCAGGGGATCCCCTCATAATATCGTTTTGATCATTTTTTGATTTTTTTTTCCCGAGGATTTCGATCCTTAGAACCCAAAGGTCTACCACGCTTCAGGCGTGCTTTAGGTTCACTAGCTCTCATGCTAGTAGATGGTCATGTTGGGGCATCAATTTGGATAGGCACATTCTCTGCAGGGATATGTGACTTAGTTATCCTTTTCAAATCAGTAAACGCGTCTGGCATTTGATTTGCTATATTTTTGTAAATGGATGATCTTCTGGACCTCCTGTTTACATATAAGGGTACATGGGTCAAAATAAGATAATGATAAAATTTTCCACACAATTTCTCTTTTGATTTTCTTTTTCTCTCCCCCTAATTGTGGAAAATTTATTTCATCAAACTGACAATCTGCAAATCGTGCAGTAAATAAATCTCCCGTCAATGGTTCAAGATAGCGAATAATAGAGGGTGATTCAAACCCAACATATATTCATAACTTTTTATGTGGGCCCATCTTACTGCGATGTGGTGGTGTTACTGGCACATATACAGCACATCCAAAAATTCGTACATGGGCAATATCTGGTTCATGACCAAAAACTAATTGTGACAGAGAATATTTATTATAATGTGTCGGTCTGAGACGGATAAGTGATGTTGCATGCAAAATAGCATGGAATCAAACAGTAGTGGGAAATTTTGATTTCATAAGTAGTGGTTTTGCTATCAATTGCAGGCGTTTAATAAATAACTCTGCAAGGCCATTTTGAGTATGAACATAAGCTACAGGATGTTCAATTTTTATTCCAACTGATAGACAATAATCATCAAAAGCTTGAGATGAGAATTTTCCAGCATTATCAAGGCAAATAGCCTTTATAGGATAATCTGGGAATTGTGCCCTTAATCGAATTATTTGGACAAATAGCTTTGCAAACGCCAAGTTGCGAAATGATAGTAGGCACACATGAGACCATCTTGAAGATGCATCTATTAAAACCATAAAATATCTGAACAGTCCACTTGGTGGGTGAATAGGTCCACATATATCCCCATGTATACGTTCTAAAAAGGCAGGGGATTCAACGCCAACCTTCATTGGTGATGGCCTAGTGATCATTTTGCCTTGATAACAAGCATCACAAGAAAATTCATTATTTGTAAGGATTTTCAAGTTCTTTAATGGATGCCCACTCGAATTTTCAGTAATTCATCTCATCATTATTGATCCAGGATGGTCCAAACGGCCATGCCAAAGTACAAAAATATTTGAATCAGTAAACTTCTGGTTTACGATAGAGTGTGCTTCAACTGTACTAATCTTTGAATAGTACAAGCCAGAAGATAAAGTTGGTAACTTTTCTACAATGCACTCCTGGCCAGAAACATTCTTTGTAATACAAAGATATTCCATATTCATTTCATCTATCGTCTCAACATGATACCCATTTTGGCGGATATCTATAAAACTCAACAAGTTTCTTTGAGACTTGGAGGAGAATAATACATTGTCTATTATAAATTTTATTCCCTTAGACATAAATATAGTGGTTGTTCCGGAGCCTTCAATCAAACTTATATTACCAAAAATTGTTGAAATATTTGCTTTTTCCTTATGCAAATAAGAAAAGTATTTCTGATATTTGAATATGGCATGAATTGTTCCACTATCAATTACACAAATATCTTCATGATTGGTTTTTGATCCAAACATAATTTGAGGATTATCCATATTATTCAAAATGACATAAATAAAATAAATATGATAGTAAACATCATTGTCAAAGCATAAGTTTTATTTATGTACAATAATTACATAACCATATTATCTACTACAAACAATAAAAATTAAAATATTTACATTTCTACAGATTCATCACCGATCACATGACTTGTTTCTCCTTACGGGAGTACAAAGTAATCAGCTACATCCA